TCTCTCTCTCCCTCGTCCTCCCCCTCCTCCGCCTTTTTTTTTTTTCCTTTTTTAATTCTCCGTCGAAATTGACATTTCTTCTGTTCCTTGTTCTCGCAGGTGCATCGTCAGCATCTGCCACGTCAGCAGGTGTTTCGTCCGCACCTGCCACGTCAGCAGCCACGTGAGCAGCAACCGCTTCAGCAGCAGCTGCAGCACCCACATCAACCGCTGCAGCACCCAGAGCACCTTCCAGTTCAGCAGCTGCCACGTGAGCAGCAACCGCGACAGCAGGAGCCACGTGAGCAGCAACCGCTTCAGCAGCGGCAGCAGCAGCACCAACAGCAGCTTCCACGACCATGTCAGCAGCCACCGCGACAACAGCAGCCGCGTGAGCAGCAACCGCTACAGCAGCGGCAGTAGCAACCGATTCAGCAGCAGCCACAGCAACCGCTTCTGCAGCAGCAGCCACTGCACCTTCCAGTGCCAGCTACCGTAACAGCATCAAAAGCAGCAGCCGCGTCAGCAGCAGCCACTTCAGCAGCAACCCCGCACTGACTCTGCAGCATCACCGGCGTCATGGCAGGGGAGCAACGGGAGCCGTTCCGGGAGGACATGACCTGCAATAGGGACCACGTCGTGTGGTCTTGGGCTGCCGGGCAATGCTCGTGGGTCGAGAAGACTGCGGTGCAAACTCTGCAACAAGGAGTACTCCGATAATCGGAAGCGTGCGTGGGAGCACTTCATTTTAGCAAGGGTGTCTGCCAGGTGTCCACATTCGAACCTGTCGATTTGGAGGAGGTTGCATGGCATCGGTGTACAGCTGCCACCGCACCTGCATGAGAGGGTGCAACGCGTGTTGGAGATGGAGAAGCAACGAGGGGGAAAATCCTGTTCTGGGTGGAGGAGAAGGGGGCGAAGGCGGGATCGCTGCGGATCCAGGGGAGGCACCGGGTGGGGACACCATGGAGGTTGACATCGGCGAGGATGAGGGGACGAGGGGTGTTGTGACAGGCGGCCTTGCTACTGCAGGGAGGGCCATTTCCTCGCAGGTTGTGATGCAGGGGGCGCGCAGACGTGGCCCGACGAGGCAGATGAGCATCAGGGGGTTTGCGAAGAACTCAAGGCAGGAGGACATAGATGACTCCTGCAGCGAGTTCTTCGTGGAGAACGCCATACCGTTCAACGCTGCCAGAAGCAAGAGCTTCAGGAAGTTCATGCTGACATGTATCGGACCACAGCCTGTGGGGAGTCATCCACTCGTGCCTACTGGGTACAACCCCCTCAGATGCCGCCTGCTCGATCGTTTGAACACCAAGGCCAACAAAATAGTAAACTTCTTCCGGGTTCACAGGTGGCCTCGGTCGGAGTTGAGAACACAACTGTTGAAATACACTGACTTGAAATGCACCTGCCTCCTTCGGCCTGCTCAGACAAGGTTTGGGACGAACTATGTGATGCTGCAGCAACTCGAGGTGTGCGACAGGGCCATCGTGCGTATCGTCACTGGACATGGTTGGGAGACCATGCTGTGGCGAGGGGATATTAGGGCGAAGGCCTACTTCGTGGAGGAGACAGTTATTGACAAAGCATTCTGGGCTGATGTCAAGAAGCTGACTGCCGTCATGAAGGGGCCTTATAATGTGTTGCGAGAGGTGGACAAAGATGTCCACTGCTTGTCACGAATCTATGATATGGCGTGTCGGCTGCCTGGCTTCGTTCGCTCGGCCCCCCTCCCTGCGGACCAGCAAGATGACCTTCTCAGGGATGTCGGCAACAGGACGGACATGCTGCTCAGCCCCATCCATGTCGTTGCACGTCTGCTGGATCCTATGTTGAGGGACATTACCATTTTCAGTAATGTCGACCTCATGGCACAGTTCGAGAGCGTTGTGGAGCGGCTGATCGGGAAGCGTGGGAGCTCGAGATTTGACGACTGCATGGACCAGTTATATGAGTTCCAGTTTGGGAGAGGAGTCTTCGGCACCCCGCAGGCAAAGAAATGGGCTGAGAAGGACAATGCGGTGCTATGGTGGGAGGCGCATGGTGCAGGGCATCCAGAGATCCGAGAGCTGGCGCTGAAGGTTGAGCAGCAGCACGAGCGGTTTGTGCAGCAGCAGGAGCAGCAGCAGAAGCGGGTTGAGCAGCAGCAGGAGCGGGTTGTGCAGCAGCAGGAACACGTTGAGCAGCAGCAGGAGCGGGTTGTGCAGCACGAGCAGCAGCAGCAGNAGCGGGTTGAGCAGCAGCAGGAGCGGGTTGTGCAGCAGCAGGAACACGTTGAGCAGCAGCAGGAGCGGGTTGTGCAGCACGAGCAGCAGCAGCAGCAGGAGCGGGTTGAGCAGCAGCAGGAGCGGGTTGTGCAGCAGCAGGAACACGTTGAGCAGCAGCAGGAGCGGGTTGTGCAGCACGAGCAGCAGCAGGAGAAGCAGCAGGAGCAGCAGCAGGAGCAGCAATAGGAGCAGCAGCAGGAACAGCAACGTGGGCAAGGGGATGAGGAGGAGCAGCAGCAGCGAGGGGATGAGGAGCAGCAGCAGCATGAGACGGATGGGGAGCAGCCGCAGCATAGGGAGAAGGAGCAGCAGCAGCAGAGGGTAGATCCCGCAGTCCAGCAGGAGACCGCAGTGCAGTCATCCAGAGATGTGCACGAGGATGGTGAGGCAGAGGGCGAGCACGGTCGCAGCGCGGTGCGAGGATTTTACGGTTCTTCTCAGCGGTCGCCTCTCGTTGGGCGGCATGGAGCACATCCCGGCCGTGTGTGGGATCCCCTCGCTTATCGTGCTCCGCGAGGACAAGGGAGGGCGGCTGCTGGACGTGGGAGAGGGCGGACTCATGTGGTTGCTCAAGGCACCGATGGGGTTGCACGAGGCTCAGGGCGTTCGAGAGGGCGGCCACGAAAAGAGAAACCACCCGAAGCGGCAGCAGCAGCAGGAGCAGCAACAGAAGCACCAGCAGCAAAGGAGTCAGGTGATGACTCCCATGAGAGTGCACCGTTGCAAAGGAAGAAGAGGAGGACGAAGCCTGCTGTGGAGACAGAGACACAGGGCGAGACTCAATGAGAGAGAAAGAGAGAGAAAGAGAGAGAGAGAGAGAGACCCCATTGTGTTTCACGTTCATGCTCCCATAGTGCTTCACGTTCCCATTGGCGAAACTGTTTCGTTGTCGGGCTGTCCGAACTCAAAGGCTTTCGTTGTCTGATAGAGGGGTTGCTTCAGTGACTGTTGTTTCAATTCGAATCTGCTCATCTTGGTGGAGTGGGGGTTGTCTGTGTGTGTGTGTGTGTGTGTGTGTGTGTGTGTGTGTGTGACACTGTGTGTGTGTGTGTGTGTGACACTGTGTGTGTTGTCCTATTCGTTGTACACTCAAAAAACCATGACTGTGCCTGATTGTTTCGTCGGACTGTCACCAGCGTTGTCGAGCGGGGAACCCCGGGGGCAAAGCCGGTGTTAGGCTGCGGACCCCGGACCCCCGCCGCGGGGTTCATCCAACCCCGCCACCGCCGGACGACCCCCGCCGCCGCCCAGCCCCGGGTACCCCGCCGCCCAACCCCGCAGCCCCGCCACCAGCCCCGCAACCCCGCCCCCGCACCGC